TATTACTGTAATTAATCTGAGAACCTTTCTCTGATTTCACAGCTGTACATTGTTCTGTTCAACAAGAAATAGATGTGTTGAAACCAGACACGCTAGCAAAGAAGCTGGAGGATGTAAAACAGTTGCACAAAGAGATTGAAGATTTGCGGACTGCTATCTCAGACAGATACGCTCAAGATGTGGGTGATAACTGCATCACACAGTGAAGGCCAAATAAGTGGAAGATGAGGACTAAGTTTGTAGAGCAGAGAAAGCTGCTGCAGGGTGAGTTTTCAGAAGATGTTTATAACCTGTTCAGGTGAAGATGCTTTTCACAACTGGAAGTCAGATTTTCTCGTGACAGGAAAGCTCTCTGAGGAAAATGAGCCAGTAAGGGTGTGGCGAAAATGTTTTTGTATCCTGCAGTTCTGGATCTGGTTCCTGCTAGCAGCTGCAGTCAGGAAAGTGTCTGCCAGCATTCATTTCTGTAATTTATGGCAGAAACATTTTTTCAAACACTACAATCATGGAGACTCTCTTTTTCTTTGTAATGTAATTGCTGCAAGGTTTGCGAAAGCTTTGATTGAGTTTGGATTGAATATAAAATGGCAGACCGTATGTAGAAAAACTGAATTGGCTGTGATAAAGGAATTCTGAACAGTGAGGAAAAATCTGTCTTGGTACCAGATTTTTGAAATGTCTAAGGTAATCTTGTACAGTACTCAGTTTTTTCCCCATTCCTTCCTGAAACTAGAAATTTGATGAAATTGTAGAAGGCATTATTGCATTTCTCCTTAAATGTTTTAGATCTCCAAAGCCTGTGCTGGTTCCCCAGGGTTCAGGATATGACCACTGCTAATGGCATGGACACTTTCAATGTCAGTGTGCCATTATGGGTTCATATGTTTTCAATGCAGATGCACTTTTTAAACTATATTTTCATATCACTGTTCTCTATGCAAACATTAACTTGACATTCTAGAATGTATGAATTCAAATGCTGAAATGCCTTAATTCTCCTAGAAATAAACCTTTGGAAAGAGAGAAACTGTATTTTCATATTGCTTGCAAAGTGGGCAATTAGATTTGTACACAGTAATAGAAAGAATTACAGGTTGATTTTAAAACTAATCCTTCTGTGAAACAGGAAGGTGATTAATTTAAATGGTTTGTCCTTATGACTGAGCAGATTAATGCTCATTCTTCTACAAGGCTGTAATATGGAAAAGAGTCTTTAATGCTGTGCCAGCACTTTATAAAAAGACTTACGTTAGGACAAGCATGGCTGGCAGTGGCTACTGATGTCGATTAACTTTTGTCAACTGTAGGTAGCATGATCTATCGTGAAGGCATGTACATGGTCTATGTTTGTTTTTAAAATTCAAAATTGACCTTGAAAAGAAAGCTGAGTATGTTCCTGCAACACGTCAAATATTTACCAGTGGAAGTTATTCAGATGAGAGAAGTTTAAATCAAGCATTCTTCATTCTTTTGATCACATTCTTTTGATTACCATCCCAGCTTGTGGTATTTATTTAAGTTTATGAATATTTGGGTAATTTAGTAAACAGATTGCTTATGATAAACTACTTCATTTAGTGGTGTATTCTCTAAAGGCTGGCTGTAATCAATGCTATTTATTCTTTGAAGCAATATGTTTTTGACAACCCCTTGAATCTTTCTTCATATAATTAAGGTGGATATTTATCATTACCCTAGGGCAGGGGTGTCAAACTGCCGGCACATAGGCCGGATGCGTCATGCCGAAACCACGCCCACCTCATTGCTGGCAATGGAAAAAAAGTCGTGATACGTTGCAACACGTCCCGTGACGCTGTGAGTTTGACACCCCTGCCCTAGGGTCCTAGGTATTCCAAGTTCCTTTTTTTGAATGAAATTCACTTTTTCCCTATCTTTTCCCATTCTCTGGAGGACTTTCTTATTTTGTATAGATTCAACCCATGATATTTTAAGTATCTTTCTCAATCCTTATTTCAGACCCTTCTATTCTGATTGTTATTTAATCGCCCATAGTTACTGAGGGTCAAGCAATATATAAGCAACATAATTATATAAACAAAAAACTAAAATCACAGCTGCCAGTTCCTTAGCTGGTGCTGACCTTCATAAACATGGAGTTCTTCCCAAGAGTTTAGAATGCCATAATATATCGTAATAGTTTGTGTGGACCTAAGCAATCTGTCCCTTTGAAAGTATTATTTTACATGTTTCTTTAAAAAAAAACCATGTAAAACATAACAGCCTATAAAGTTCTAATCTGAAAGCTGGGAATAAATATACTATTTTTCCAAAAGTTACTTTTGCCTCTTCAATCCTACCCTTTATGTCCATGCTTCAGTTCCATCTGTCATTAAAACAGAGCCCAAGTATTTGTACTGCTCCACTTTCTGTACTTACTTTTCTACAACTGGTTCACGGATTTAATTTTTGCTGAATAACTATATTTTTGAATTACTTTTATTCAGTTAACCTAATTGAGTACATTTGTAAACAATGGTTGCTATTTGTTAGTAAACTATCTGGACATGGTAAGTTTATTTTGCCACTAATTTGTCTACTTTATTGACATTCTTCTAAAGCTTTAGAATATATATTAAATAGGGTGATAATGCACACCTTTGTCATAGTCCATACAGTAATTGACATTTGTTGGTTTGCAGACAGCTATTTCCCAAATGCTGATACACTCCAGATTCAATACAATTGTAATAGTTAGTATTCTATAGTTTGACAACTTTTAGTAAAAGTTTAATAAAAAAAGAGGAAGGAAAATTTATAAAGCTATGAACAGAAATTGTGACAGGAGAAGCTACTTTATTGTCAGCATTTGGCAGAAATTATGACTTGAAGTTTCTGTATAGGGAATATTTTAGGGATCTAACATTTTGTTGTGCTTGCAGATAAGGAAAATTGCTTATATGCTAGTTATTTTTATTACAAAAGAGTAGAACTTTTTTCTTTTTTATAAAGTATACCCTTAATACAAGGATTGCACTGTGAAATTGTGGTTTACTACACAATTTCTACATTACGTTTTTACCAACCTCAAACTAGGAATATTTCCTTTATAGAAAAATTGCAGCTGTGTTCATTGTTTTTAACATATTTCTTTCAAAAAAAATTAAATTTGTTTTAAAAATAAGAAAAAGAAAAAAGTTCTTTGTTTTGGTAGAGTTGACCTAGTTGCTTTTAATCAAAGTACATGGACCGTTGCACCTAATGACTGACTCTTAAATGTGAAATTTAAAAAATGTATTTTTATTGAAATTGTACATATTTCTTATTGATGCAAACTCAGTGTAACAACAAAATTGCTGCAAATAAATTCAGATTCGAAATATTTAGGCAGGAAAAATCAAAGGTACAAGTGCAGATTAGGCGAGACCTGGCTTAAAAACAGCACCTGTGAGAGGGACGATCACTTGACTAAGAGCCAGCAGTGTGCAGCAGCCGCCAAAAAAGCTAATACAATCCTGGGTTGTATAAACAGAGGCATAGAATCAAGATCACGCAAGGTATATTAGTGCTGCTTTATAAAACCCTAGTAAGACCTGGAATACTGCAGCCAGTTTTGGTCACCATACCACAAAAAAGATGTTGAGAGTCTGGAAAAAATTCAGAGAAGAGCAACTAAGATGATCCAAGGTCTGGAGACTGAAACATATGAAGAACGGCTGCAGGAATTGGGTTTGGGTAGTGCTAGTCTAAAGAAAAGAAGAAATAGGGGAGACATGATAACAATGTTCCAGTATCTGATGGGCTGCCACAAAGAAGAGGGGATCAAATTATTCTCCAAAGCGCACCAGAGGACAGGAGAAGAAACAAGGGTTGGAAACTGATCAAAGAGAGAAGCAACCTGGAATTGAGAAACTTTCTGACAGTGAGGACGATTAACCAGTGGAACAACCTGCCTCCAGAAATTGTGGGCGCTCCATCACTGGAGGTTTTTAAGAAGAGGCTAGCCCAGAGGTAGGCAACCTTGGCTTTTTTATGACTCGTGGACTTCAACTCCCAGAATCCCTGAGCCAGCATGGCTCAGCTTGGAAACCTCTCCCTTTCCCCTCAGCGTGGCTGGCTCAGGAATTCTGGGAGTTGAAGTCCACCAGTCATAAAAGAGCCACGGTTGCCTACCCCTGACTTAGAAGATTGAGAATCTCCATAGACCAGGGGTCTTCAAGCTTGGCCCTTTTATGATTGTGGACTTCAACTCCCAGAATTCCTCAGCCAAGCACGCTGGCTGAGGAATTCTGGGAGTTGAAGTCTACCAGTCATAAAAGAGCCACGGTTGCCTACCCCTGGGCTAGACAGTCACTTGTCTGAGATGGTACAGGTCCTCCTGCTTGAGCAGGGGGCTGAACTAGAAGACCTCCAAGGTCCCTTCCTGCTCTATTCTAACGGTGAACGTATAGCAATAGCCTAGTTACCGAAGAAACAAAACAAAACAAAACAAAAAAGATCCCACCGTGGCTATTTTGTACAGCTGCCATTATTACATCTTTGCTAATAAAACGAGCTGAAAATAGGAAGGTCGGGGATTGGTGAGCAGATGCAACCGGGGACACAAACAAGCATAAAGAATTTGTAAAAAGAAGAAAAAAAGCAATATAGACTTAGGGATTAGCGGAACAATGATTTTGTATCCACGACGGCTGAATTTGCACACAAAGGCATCGAGAAGCGCTGCCAGTTGACGAGTCGGCGCCCTTCCTTGGCCGCCAGCCCAGGGGGGGGGGATCCGGGAGAGCGGCAAGGAGGCCCGCGGAGGCCGAGCCCGCGGCCGCAGCTCCGGAAGAGAGGGGCGGCGGGCTCGGCATCTTTCGGGAGCCCTCCGGCAGCCACCTCGCACCGCCTGAGGAGAGTCGAGCCTGGCGCGGCGCCTGTTCCGCATGCTCGCGGCCGCTCGCCCCATTGGTCGGGCTGCCGTCACGTGCCGGCTGGCCTTGGGGAGGCAGCGGAGCCCTGCCCACCGCTTCGCTTCCTTCCCCTTCCATCCATCCATCCACCCACCCGTCCGCCTACCGGGCAGCCCAGCGAGAGGGAGCGGCTGGAAGCGACGAGCGCCATGGCCTGTCTCACCATCTACAGCACTTCGGTGACCGGCTCTCGGGAGGTAAGCCCGGCGCAGCCCCAGGCGCCCCCCCCCGCCAGGCGCCCCCCGCCCGGGCAAGGAATCGGTGCCGCCCCTTTGCAGTATGCGCTGCCTACGGGGGTGGGGTCTTCTCCCTCTTCTCCCCCCCCNGGAATGCTGGGAGTTGAAGTCCACGAGTCATAAAAGAGCCAAGGTTGCCTACCCCTGCTCCAGCCAGAACATCTGGAGGACGGGCTATCCATCTTTCCCCTTGGCTTCAGACGGGCTATCCATTCCTTTCCCCTTGGCTCAGGAATGCTGGGAGTTGAAGTCCACGAGTCATAAAAGAGCCAAGGTTGCCTACCCCTGCGTCCAGCCAGAACATCTGGACGACGGGCTATCCATCTTTCCCCTTGGCTTCAGACGGGCTGCTCTTCCCTTTAGGCTCCTCGCGAGGGTGGATCCCTGGCCCTTCCTCAAGTGTAAGGGGAGCACTACTCCTTCTCGGTTCCAAATTCCCGCCCACGCCAGTGGAGACACTTGAGCGATTCGAGGAAAACCTGAACGGGAAGAAATCCAACCCTGTGACAAAGGGGAGGGAGGGTCTTCCTTTACCAAAGGCTCTTTCTCCCCCCCTCCCCCCGAGGCGTGGGGTCTTCCTTGCCTCTGTTGGGGGCCTGCCATCTCCTTGATCTCTAGTGGAGGATTTTCTGCCTCTCTTTAGCCAGGATTGGATTCACTCGCTGGAAGTAGGCTGCCTCTGGTTCTTAGTATTGCAGTTGCCTTGATGTGTAGGATCAGTTGCCTTCTCCTCATGTCAACAGTGCAGGACAATTCGCCCTCTTCCCTTTTTCTCTTCCCTTTCCCCCACTGGCATGTGTGCCCCACAGATCAAATCCCAGCAGAGTGAAGTGACCAGGATCTTGGATGGAAAGAATGTCAAGTACAACCTGGTGGATATCTCCCAAGACAATGCCCTTCGGGAAGAAATGAGGACCAAATCAGGCAACCCCAAAGCCATTCCTCCCCAGATTTTCAACGGGGACCACTACTGCGGGGTGAGTGGCCCCTGGCATGGGGTGGTAACAGGTGCTGTATTTTACATTACAGTTTGGGAAAGTTTTCCCTGGGGCAGCAGTAGCAACTTTAATGTTTCGCATCTCGTTAAGAACGCGCCACTTGAATGCATCCTGGTCCATGTGGCTATTCACTGTGCCTTTGTGTTAATGCCAACAAAACTGCAGACTTGTCCAGGAAGTCGCCAGGAGTCAAAACTGACTCAAAGGCAAATACACAGACACACACACACACACACACACACACACACACACACACACACACACACACACACACACACACACACACACTAGTTGAGGTGCCCACTACTACCTCCACAACAAAATGGTTTCATGTTCAGCTCAAAGTAAATGTACTTTGAAATAAATGTTTAAAGATGTTTAATTGACCTAAATGTATAGTCCCAGGATTTCTGGCTGTCTGGCCTTTAACAAGAGCATAAAAAAAATTGGAGGTGGATAAAGGACCAGTCATGATTGTGGTAAATGTGTCTTTGAGTCAGTCTCAATCTCCTGGCATGGGAGTATCCATGGATTTGGCTACAATACAGCTGTGGTTTGCCAGCGCCATTAACTTTTTTTCCAGGGTGTGTTTTGTTTTTAACTTCCCAGTCTTGAATTTCCTGGTGAATATTATGCCCATCCCTGCTTGATCGATTTTTTTTCCCTTTGTAAAGATCAGCCAAGTTTGTCTAAGTGCTGCCATCTGGTGTCTCTCACAATTGTTTTACATTAATTGCTCATTTCTTGGCTTCATTGCTTCTTTTGCTTTTAACCTGGACTTTGTTCAGTTCTGTTGGCCTGAATTAATGTTGCCCTTCTCTCCATGCATGTTGGCTTTGTATTGACCAGAATTCCTAGTCAGCAAGTCTCTTGGCCAAGCTAGCTGGAAATTCTGGCTTTTAATAATTAACTTGTAATTTTACATAGAGGCTAGTCTACAATCATACGATGGAATACTGGCTCTGGTGGCCTCATTTTGTGACTAGGCCAAGATTTCAACATTAATGCTAAATGAATGAATGGCCTGCATGACAAGAGCTGTGCACGAAGTAGCTCAGAGTAACAACTCCTTATGTGTAATATGACCGCGTCATTTTGTATTATTTAGAATGGTGAAAGGAAACTTCTATCCTTCCAAAAATTGCTAAGTTACAACTCCCAGCATCCCTCAATATTGGCCCTGCTGGTGGGGCTGCTAGGAGTTGTAGTTCATCAACATCTGGAGGGGTTCTGCATCTGGAGGTTTAGGCACCTCCAGCAAATGTCCTTTTTCAGCTATGAAGTGTAGGACAACACTTGCTATTTCCAAACATTTTTAATAGCACCTGCTACGGCGAAAGGCCCTTGAGGAAGTTAAAGAAAAACTGTAATCTTGCTGGGCTTGGCATGAAACTAGACAGGGAATCTTGCTAAGACAGGGAGGGAAAATCCCACTTCTTTCTATACATTTCCATACCCTTTTAGGTGCTTATTACAAAATGGCTCAGAACATAAAATGAATAATTAATGTAAGGGCGATGAAGAGTCATTTGGCTGACAGCAGGAGGAAATATTAATAGACTCTAGTGATGCATCTCATCGAGAGGAAAATGAATATTGACTCCAGTCTAAATTGTGTTATGCTCTTCAGCCATTTCCTGACAAAGTCAAAAGGACATTTGCAAAAGTAGCAGCCCTGTGGGCTTAAGGCTACTCTCCTTTTCCCTCTACGTGAAAGTATCTCTAAAAATCTCTTCATTCTGTGCCTTAATTTGATGACACTTGATACTGACAAGTGACATATTGCAGGTTAAAAAGCATTTACTGTCATTTGTGAAAGTGCCGTCATACCAGAGTGATTGCTGGCCTCGTTCTATGGGGGGGGGGGAAGGATTTTTCAGACATTTGCCTAGTATTTATGGACTGTATTAATGCTGAAAGATGCAGGCCTGTCCCTGATACTTGGGTCACATCCTGGGTATAGTTCATAGTGGGGAGTGACTCTGTTTGTATCAGACAGAACAGCTGTGAAAGGAAGGCAGCAGAGAATATATAAGACATTCGTGGCTTTCACAGTAGTTGTGACTGGATACACACCCGGGCTGATGTCTGAGCGAGAAGACCAACAAGCCGTTTAGTTGAAGGTTTCAGGTGTTTCTCCTAGGGATTCTGCAGATGTTTCCACCAAATTATTGTTTTCATATGATAGAAGGGGAAGAAATACACAGGGTCAATAGCATCAACTGTACTTAAGCAATGTAAGTATAATTGTATTACCTAAAACGTTACTTTTGACTTGTGATTCACCTCTCAGTTAAGTGAAAATAAGTATCTGGAGAGGATTATAAAGGAAAGAGCTATATAAACAGCTTTGATGCACAAGAACAGGTCTTTAGCTGAGCTTTGAGCATTCTGTAATGAGGGCTGTTCTCCTTGTTTGGCTCCAGAGGCAGCTTTTGGTTCGGTGCTAAGACATTCTTAGCCTTTCACTGCACATGTCCCTATTTTTTTAGTTTATTTTTCTCCCACCTGGCAGGACTACGAACTGTTTGTGGAAGCGGTCGAACAGAACACCCTGCAGGAATTCCTGAAGTTAGCCTGAGCTTGCTTCTTCCCTGCCCCACATGACAACCATCCAGGACTTGGAAATTCTGCATTCCAGATGGATCACCTCCTAAGCGATTGTCAGCTCTGTGCGACCAACCTCTTCTCCAACTGCCTCTGAATTGCGCTCCCTCTTTCACTGTGGTCTCCAAAGACCAGCTGGTTCCTTTGAATGCAGCTGGGCCTGTCTCCTCGTGCCTATGGGGGGTAGACTGATGCTAATCTTCTCATTAAGGACCTGGGAAAGCAGAGCTTTTCCTTACTTTTCTGTTCCCCCTTTTCTTTTTCAAGCTCAGACTGCCCTTGGTATTAAAAGGGAAGAGCTGGTTGCTTCTTATCACCATATGTCCTTCAATGTGCAAAATGTCAGTTCCTGTAGTTCCTCTTTCATTTTAAACCAGGAAAGAGAACAGCAGATATCTGCTCTTAGTGAGATTACTCGTGTCTAGCAATGCAAAAAGTGCTGCAGACGGTCTTGTGCTCCTGTTGCCTTCTCTGCCAGTGGTTAGTGGGGTGAGCATGTGTATGTATCTGTCTTAAAACATGGTGATGTAGCTCAGCCTTTCTTAAAAGTGGTTCTGGAGGGGGTGGCAAGAGCATTTCTCCCAGTCCATTAGTGCTTTTTTTCCTTATGTCCCAGCTGGCAATGGAAAACTCTTTCCTGCTCCCCAAGAGGGGAAAGTAATTTCCACTCTATTCTGGCCTCAGCTGTTTCATGCTTCCCCTTTCTTGGAACTGGCTTTTTGCAAACTTGGACCAAGTGCATTTTCTTTCTTTTTTTTTTATTTCTGAAAGCAAAATTTATAAACAGCCATGTTTTTGTTAAGATGCCATTAAATATTGCTAAAAACCTCCATCACAGTGGTTCTGTGCTTTTTTTTTGAAAAAAAACAAAACAAAACACAGACCGTTGGACACAGAAATTGTATGCCACTCTGTTCATTTATTTGGAAATCTGTTTTCTAACTCTTAGCAATTCAATTACGTTCATTGTTATACTTGGGCAATATTGGGGGTGGGGGAGTGTTTTAGAAAAAAAAATCCAGAATGTGCCAGAAGAATGACAGAAATATAACGAAGTGTTTGGTGCAACTGCCTCCTACAGCAATATGTATCTGAAACAGGATTTAGTGTTTGGCAGTGTTTGGGCTTTTTGCAGTCTTTATGGGCAAGAGACATGGAATGTAAGACTAAATCAGGGGTAGGCAACCTTGGCTCTTTTATGACTCGTGGACTTCAACTCCCAGAATTCCTGAGCCAGCCAAGCTGGCTCAGGAATTCTGGGAGTTGAAGTCCACGAGTCATAAAAGAGCCAAGGTTGCCTACCCCTGGACTAAATCATTGCACTGTTTTGTGGTGTGAAAATTGTCCCCTGTGTCTAGGGTTCAGTGGCCAGTTTTGTTTCCAGAAAAGAGACTTTCCACATTTCTCTAATACTGAAGTATGAGGCAATGTACGAGGTTGGCTTTTAGTGAAAATGATGCAAAAGGGACAAGAATTTTTTAAGGTCCTTAATGCAACCTGCCCTCTTGCTTTAAGGACCAATCACCATCATTCTCTTTGCCTCCTAGGGAGGAAGAGCTAGTAAATATAAAAACATCAGCTGCTGTTGCACTTCACAATTGTATAAGTTGCCAAAAGGAGTTCCCTTGTTCATCTATGAGTACATGTTAACAGTATTCATTTTTCCCCACCCATACTAAGTGTAGGTGGGAAGCTCAGTTGGACTATGGCTAAATTGGCTTACTACAACTTCCCTATTGTATGCACACAACACTGCTTTGGTTACATACAGATAAACATTTGGAGAATGAGTCTATTGTTCAAGTAGAGAAAGGGAAAAAAAAGAAGCACATCTGAATACAACATGCAAAACCAAAAATTTAAATCATATTGGGCTTGGCTTGTTATGTAAATTCAATCAATGAAGAGTTATTCAGAATACCATGGTTGAGCAAATTTTGGCTGAGCATGCTGTATTAATGAGGGCATTGTCCAATGGGAATATTTGGGGTGTTTATGGTCCAAGTAGCATCACACAGAATACTTTCTAAAAATCCTGGTGAAAATCCAGCATCACTGTTTTTAAACATCAGGAGATTGGCATCGGGTCTTGGACACCAGAAACCAATTTACTGGGGGTTTTTTTGCAACTGGGAACAATGGCAAAATTCTTGCTCTGGCATTCTTAGATTTTTACAGATTCTAAAGCTTCACCCTCAATTGAATATTAAGCTTATCACATCTGTTCTGTAAAAATCCAGATGACACCCACACAGCAGCTATCAGCCCCAAATCAATAGCCCTAATGGCTACCACAATTTGTCAAATTTTATGGATCCATGGTGGTAGGCAATTTTAGAGACGTATTCTCATGACAATGAAGCATTTGTCCACCCCACTGCTCTTTAAGTGAAGATACCACCTGAGTTGACTGCAAGCATCTTATGTGTGTAGAATGCAGTTACGGTAGCTAAAGTAAGTTGCTGAAACAACTGATTTAGTAGCACCAAAACTGATTTTTAAAGTTCAGGAAAAGCATCCAGCATATCTTTTGTGTAGTGAATACATATCTGCAACTTGTGGCAGGCTTAGGAAGAATGGTAAATGTTTTAAGATATTCTTCCTGGTCAGAAAGGCCTTGCACACAGAGCACCTGGGCTTATATAAAACCATACCACTGTAGATGCTGTTGCTGGCAAAATGTGCTTTTAATTATTAAAGCTTTCTATTTGCTCATCTAGCTTTCTGCATGAAAGGAACTGCTGCTACAAGGAGGGGAATTTAATGCATAATTCAACCCCTATCCTGATATAATTCTGTAAGGTCCAGACCCCAAGGGAGGAAAGACTGGGCACCAACAGAATACTTGGATGCTGAAGAAATCCAGCCTGCCTTCTTTTGAACGTCTACAAAGACTCAGAAGGTGCAGTTTGCTTAATACTTCCAAGTCTTCATCCAAATAGACAAGACAAAGGGACAGGTAAATTAACCTGTTCAAAAAAATGGGACCCAGTGGGTTCAAAACTAGTGACAACAGTAAGAAATAAGCTTAACAAACTATATGGGTACTTCGTGTTACATAATAGCCACAATGAGTAATAAAAGGCTTAGGTAAGTCATAATAAAGCCCTTTCTGCTGAAAGACAAGACAGACAATGAGAAGGAAGTTGGCTGGAACTGGATGCATTGTTGCACTCGGTCACTCCCGCTCAACTCCTGTTCAGATACGCTGACTTCTCATAATCTCCCAGCTGGAAGAACCAAAAGATAATGGAGTAGGGGGCAGCTGGGAGCTGAATTTGTGACATCCAGAGAGACACAACTGAGGAAAGCTCACAGTTAGCCCTTGCAGCCACAGCTCTTCCAGAAAAAGATAGCTGGACCACTCTGGTCCTCCTTTGCGTCAGGTACTTGTCTGCTCCATACATTAAATCTGCTCACAGAAAGCTCTCTCTCCCTCTCCTGCCCCGTCTCCTTTGATGATCCAGAAATGTCCACCTTTCCTGCTCATGATTTACAAAGTTGGAGTACAAAGAAAATGGTGCCATATCTTGCTCGGGGGGGGGGGGAGTAGCAGGCCCCAAATGGGTATTGTGTTTTACAAAAGCTTTACAATGCTCAAGAAGTTGCCAGCTGGCATTGACTACCCCACCAGTTTTTTCTTGCCGAAATAGTCTTGACGTTCCTAAAGGAATGGTAATAAAGGCTAATTTATTTTAGTTCCTTTCGGGCTGGGTAGAATGAGACAAGTAAGGCTAAAGTCTTTACCTCCGTTAGGGTAGGAAATAAAGTGTTGCATAAAGCTCTGTGGCTGGCTGGGGCATTCTGGGAGTTGAAGTCCACTTAGTTTAATGTTGCCAATATCTAAGCCATTCAACATTCATTTAGTTTGCCCTGGCTTGTTTACTTGGGGGACGGGAGTGGGAGGGAATACAGTGGCTAGTTCTAACCCGTGTGGCTGGAACCACAAGTATTACTTGTTTCCATCCTGGAGCTGCTCTTATACAGTTAGACCTTTGGCCCGTATCCCAGCAGCTACCTTGGAGAAGCAGGAGAAGGCACACAACGTCCTAGCTGAACGGCAGCCAAGTCTACTGTGAACCATTCCAGCTATTCCTCTCCTGCTTTGGCGGGAGGGAGTTTCTTCCTCAGCAGAAGGAATGCGTTGGGGACCAACCCACATTCCTCAAGGCTCACAGCATCGTTGTTATACACCCGAAGGGGGAACGTGCTGAGGATCTCGAAGGGCTCCACTGCTTCACCCCTAGAAAAGAGTAGAACCAGGTTTGTAAACAGACTCACTTCACACCTGTCCAGCTTTTCCAATCCAGTGACCTTTCTGAATTCGGATTTAAATGATCAAAGATGATTTTTTTTTTTAACTTTTACTTTACTACTTGTATTTAAAAATTCAGTTATAGGTAGTCCTCAGCTTGCAATCACAACTGAGCTCCTAATTTCCATTACTAAGCCAGACAGCTGTTAAGAGTTTTGCCCTATTTTATGACCTTTTTGCTACAGTTGTTAAACCAGTGGTTCTCAACCTGTGGGTCGGGATCCCATTTGGGGTCGATCGACCATTTCACAGGGGTCGCCAAGCAAGGCTGTCCGCCATTTTTTCCCCCTTTTCCGGCGGGTGCCTTACCTCCCTTGAGCTGGGCCAGCTGGTGGTTGGCCTGCTCCATCTCTGCCGCTTGCCAGCTACGCCTCGGCCGGCGCAGGGGGCGGAACCACACATGCGTGGCACTCCCGGGCAGGGAAAGTCCTCGACTTACGACCGGTTGGGTAGTCCTCGACTTACGACCGGTTTAGTCCTCGACTTATGACCGGTTGGGGTCGCGGCATTAAAAAGGTTGAGAACCACTGTGTTAAACGAATCATTGCAGCGGTTAACTAAATTAGATCTGGCTTCCCCCCTGGACTTTGCTTGTCAGAAACTGACTGGGCATGTGATCACATGACCCCAAGACAGTGCAACTGTCACAAATGCATACCAGTTGCCAAGCGCCCGAGTTTTGATCACATGATTCGTGGGGATGTGCAACTGTCGTAAGTGTAAAAAGCGGTCGTTAAGTTACTTTTTTCAGTGCCATAACTTTGAACTGTCACTAAATGAATGGTTGTAAGTCAAGGACTATCTATACTCCAGATTTATTGGTATCACTTAAATCAATCTGAAAGGAAAATATTATCAGATCAATAAAACCCTTTTTGATATTACTTTTCTCCCGCGTGCCAAATTTCAAGTAATACCTCTGTCTTTTGGAGAACTGCTGTTCCAGTAGCCCAGTTTCAGAAAAAATGCATCTTTTTTTTTTTTGTAGAAAAGACATTTGGGAAGGACATTTACAGACAGGTGTTTGCCACGATTTCCATCCTTCTTAAATTTCCCTGGAATCATTCGTCCTACCTGTTCTGAGCAAGGTGTTGGCGCAAGTGTCCAATAGTCTCTGTGAATGACATTTTGACAATGTATGTCTTCTCTCCGTCCTCTGATTTTATCCGAAGAGTTGAAATGTTGGTGCCAGGCCCCTCTGTTTTCTGCTTCCCTTCCAGTCTAAGAGTTAAAGGGAGATGGTGATGGAAACCATGGCTTCTTTAAGGAGGGCAGAATAACCCAGGCACACTGGTAGGTGTGGTCACCCTTTTTTTTTAAAATGCAGCCTGTCCTAACGTTCTCCAGATTGTTGGGTCTGCCATTCCCAGAAAGCAGAGATTTTAGTCATGCTACAATCCCAACACACATGGACTGAGGAAGGTTACTATATATTTTCTTTATTTACCTTGTGCTGGTTTTGTTTCTGGCACACAAATACCTAACATCCATAATCCATCACTCCAGCATGCAAAAGAGTCTCGAGAAAAACGGGGGCCTGCACGTGACTTGGGTGGGAGTGGTCACTAAATTATAAAATATGGGAGACTCAGCTTCTCTGGAGCAGTTAGGTCAGGGATAGGCAACCTTGGCTCTTTTATGACTCGTGGACTTCAACTCCCAGAATTCCTGAGCCAGCCAAGTCCACGAGTCATAAAAGAGCCAAGGTTGCCTACCCCTGAGTTAGGTGCATAATTGGATTAGAATGGAAATGGAAGAGTAGGAAGACATACTGAGGCTGGCACACTAACACCTCAAACTGAAAAGGAATCAAGCTTTCTTAAAAGTGCCCCCAATTCTTTCAGATGTGTTTGTTGGATTGATTGATTGATTGATTGATTGATTGATTGAAACAAGCTGTTCTCTGAAAATAATAGAGGATGATGCACAAAAAAAAAAGATTTTGGCAACTTCACGCAAGATTTATGTTCTTATAAAATCTGGGATATGCAGGAGAGGAGTTCAGACCTCCAAACTGATCCCTTTAAGTCCATTTTATCTACATTTACTATCAACACCTTCCACGGTCTCAAGCAAAAGGACTTCTCCATCTATTTCATCCAATGAAATGCCAGAATCATATCTAAGAGGGTTCTACATGTAAGGCATGTGCTTCATCGCCTATGATCCCACCTCAAAACAAGGCTAAAAGGTGTTCCTAGTTTTACTCTTGCTCACTCCGGGTTTGGATTTCTGCCATAACGAGACATACTCGGAGGAAAAGCATCAGCGAGGACTCTGGAGGCTTGTTTACCTCTTCCTCAGTGCTGTAAGGCTGGGCGTCTCCACCAAAACCACTTCATGGCTTTGTGCTCCATCCAGGCCCTGGAAGCAAAGAGGGAAATGTAGGCCAATGTTTGAATGCCCTAAGACAGGGCTTTTCAACCTTTTCACCCATTGTACCACTTTTAGGATATGATCCCCAACCAGTTGCCTAGCAAGGTGTCAAAAACTTGATGACCCCCCCCCAAAAAAAGGAAAAAAGGGGATAAAGTACAGGCAGTCCTTGACTTACAACAGTTCGCTTAGTGACTCTTCGAAGTTACAATGGCACTGAAAAAAGTGCCCCCCAAGCCACAGCCGAGCAAGACACCTGCCTGCCTGTGAGCATTTCTGTTGAGGATTGGCAGCGGGGGTGGGGTGGGGGGTGTTTGGTTTTTATTCCCCCCGTCTGCTGGGTGGTTGCAGCAGGTTTTGGTCACCTCACATGACCCTGGGACACTGTGACCGTCATAAATATGAATCAGTTGCCAAGCATCTGAATGTAAATCACAAGACCCTGGGGATGCTGCAACATTCCAGCTGATTGGTGCTTCTTCTGGGCTCAGCAGAGGCGTCAGGATCAGTGCTGAGCTCCAGCTGGAGCCTGGTGCTGATCCTGGCACTTCCGCTGAGCCCTGACAGCCCTGCAGCTCCAGCCGTCTCTCGCTCAGGCTTGTGCGGTACTGCCACCGGTTCAGCTCATTACCCTCCCCCACTACCACTTTTCTAGGATGGTCGCATACCACCTGCCAGGTGCCAATGTACCACAGGTGGTACCCATACCACTGGTTGAAAAGCCCTGCCCTAAGAGACATTAAGTCAGACGATGCCCTTCTGCTCCTCCAGCCCACACATTTAAAGATCAAAAAGAAAGGAAGCTTTCTTAACTAGAGCTATTTAGAAAAGAACAAGAAGGCTTGGTAATAATTCTAAAATAGCTTTTTGAGATCTCGGTGATATTTGTTTCTTTGGAGCTTCAAAGAGGGGGATACAAAATTACCTGAAGGGTCTTTTTAAGATCTTCCCGGATATCTATTACTTGCCCATCTCGAACCAGCGACTTTGGAAGTTTGTTCAAAAATTGTTCCATGGTGAGTTTAGGACCTGCGAAAAGATAGGATTTCACAAGCAGATGCTTTATGGGGTATGTGGACAATGACACATCACATGCTGAGATTTCATTTTAATTAACTTAAATTTTATCTGTAGGCTTCTTTTCAGGGGTACAGGTAGTCCTCAACTTGCAACCACAATTGAGCCCAAAAGGTCCGTGGCTAAGTGAAACATTTAAGCGAATGTTCCCCCATTTTACGACCTTTGTTGACACAGTTGTTAAATGAATCACTGCAGCTTTTAAGTTAGTAACATGGTTAAGTGAATCTGGCTTCCCCATTGACTTAGCTTATCAGAAGGTTGCAAAAGGGAATCACATGACCCCGGGACACTGCAACCATCGTAAGTATGAACCAGTTGCCACATGTCCTAATTTTGATCACATGACCCTGGGATGCTGCAACAGTTGTAAATGTGAAAACAGTCATAAGTCACTTTTTTTCAGTGCTGTTGTAATTCAAAAGGGCACTAAATGAACTGTTGTAAGTTGAGGACTACCTGTATAGTTGTATTAAAACAGTGATGGCGAACCTTTTAGAGACCGAGTGCCCAAACTGCAACCCAAAACCCACTTATTTATCGCAAAGTGCCAACATGGCAATTTAATCTGAATGCTGAGGTTTTAGTTCAGAAAAAAACAACCCATACATTAACATCTTTTGTCTTGAAAGAAAAACACAATGACAAAGCTTTCAATGATACCAACAACTTTTTACTGAAAGGTAAAAGTTTGCATTTGGCATGCTTTTGAACAATTAATGTGATTTCTGCTGTTGTATGCATGCTGATAATTTGTCTAATCTTGGCTTATACTTTGTAAGTTTGAGAGCAACACATGCAGCACTCAGGTCATCTGTTAATCTGTTTCTGGTGTCAGATTTGATATAATTCAAAGCTGAAAACAGTGTGCTCAATCCGGAGGCTTGTTTTGGCAAGGAAGGGGCTTGAGAAATGACTTTTTCCTGCGAAAACCTAGCCAAAGAGTGAGGCACGCGTGCCCACAGAGAGGTTCCGAGTGCCCCCTCTGGCACACATGCCATAGGTTCGCCACCACTGTATTAAAACCACCCACAATCATATGAGAAATAGGAGGGAGCGCTATACATGGTAGCTTGAGTTCCTGAAAAAAAATTGGGATACATATCTAATACAGAAACATAGATTTTTAGCACAAAAGGGGATTCCAGTGGTCATGTGGTCAAACTCTTACTCAATATTATCTATAGCTATTGTACATTTTTTTTCAGCCTTCCTTATGTCTGATTATTGTAGTTATCTGCAAAAAACAAAAGCATCTACTGTAAATGGACATTTTCAACAGTGCCTTAACTCAGTATTTATCTGATGAATGAGAGATATCCAAGTTACAATTAGTATGCTATTATCTGGATACAACCCGTTTAAGCTCTAAGCATAAAATAAAATGGTTCTATGCAGAGGGCAGGACAGTCTTTGGGACTCTCTCTCTCTCCAGATGTGTTGGCATCTGGGAATTAATGGGAGTTGCAATCCCATACACAACTGCAGGGCACAACAGCTGGGAAGGTTTGGACAGGCTTGGATAGCAGAACCAACTAATAAAATAGGTATTTGCAGCACCAAACTCAAACCACAGTTTTGGATTTGCTGAACAACGATCGAATCTGCAGTAAACAGTTATAACCACTGGAGTTGGGTGGCTGATAAATTTGAATAAAAACCAAGCAACCATCACCTGAGATTTCACTTGTCTCCTTTAGGCCACTTGGTCTGGAACGCCCAACAGCCTGGCCAAAGCCAGGAAAATACCCTGGCAGCTTCCTTTCCCGAAATAAGACATCTCTCTTGTCGGTGACCTGTTGAATAAATCCCAGTGCTGTTAATTACTCTGATTCCAGACTCCAGAGGTCACTGTTAGACTGAGAAGCAGATGAAATTGGGTGTTAGTAGCAAATACTATGGAAACAACCTCTTCCTCAAAATTCAAAGGAAGTTAGTAGCAACAACAAATACTATGGAAACAATCTCTGCCTCCTTCTGTCAAAATTCAAAGGAAATACCACATTTCAGGAAACCATCTAAGTTGAGTTGCCTTACACATAATGAACTGAGCATTATGACACAATAATTGTATTGGTCTTCAAAAGGAAGCTACAGAACGACTTTAAGAAGTGTTAGAAGCCAACGATGGCAGATGTCTAATAATAACCAAGATGCTCAGATAATGAAAACACATTTTCTCCGCTTATTAAAAAAACAAAAACAAGGATTTCTCGTCAGATGTTTGGAAATGAATGCCGTGATTGCTGTAATGGAAACTGGTAGAGAGGACTGATTCGAAGTTCAATTTCTTAACTCTGTTTTCTTTCACTAGTCTTAACGCAACCCCAACGCCTGATCAAATCAACATAATCAATGCAAAATGACAGGTCACCTACATTTTCCAGCTACGGTGGAGAGAACATTTTCCGTTTTTCATGTTCTTTTAGAGCAGGGCTTTTCAACCTTTTCACCCATTGTACCACTTTTAGGATATGGCAATATCCGAGTACCACCAGTTGCCTAGCAAGGTGTCAAAAACTTGATGACCCCACCCCCCAAAAAAGGAAAAAAAGGGATAAAGTACAGGCAGTCCTTGACTTACAACAGTTCGCTTAGTGACTGTTCGAAGTTACAATGGCACTGAAAAAAGTGCCCCCCAAGCCACAGCCGAGCAAGACACCTGCCTGCCCGCCCGGCCGCGCTCTTCCTCCTGTCTGAGGTTTTCATTGTTGTGAGCATTTCTGCTGAGGATTGGCAGCGGGGGTGGGGTGGGGGGTGTTTGGTTTTTATTCCCCCCGTCTGCTGGGTGGTTGCAGCAGGTTTTGGTCACTTCACATGACCCTGGGACACTGTGACCATCATAAATATGAATCAGTTGCCAAGCATCTGAATGTAAATCACAAGACCCTGGAGAGGCTGCAACATTCCAGCTGATCGGCGCTTCTTCTGGGCTCAGCAGAAGCGTCAGGATCAGCGGCGAGCTCCAGCTGGAACCTGGCACTGATCCTGGTGCTTCTGCTGAGCCCTGACAGCCCTGCAGCTCCAGCCATCTCTGGCTCAGGCTTGTGCGGTGCTGCCACCGGTTCAGCTCATTCCCCTCCCCCGCTACCACTTTTCTAGGATGGTCACGTACCACCTGACAGGTGCCAATGTACCACAGGTAGTACCCGTACCACTGGTTGAAAAGCCCTGTTTTAGAGGGAAAGGATGAATATATTCCAGACGTTATGAACAGAGAAAAGTTTCATTTCGTAAATGAGTAAACTATCTGACAGGCGTTTGCAGCAGTCATGCCACAATCAAATTATATCATGTACCAAGCAGCTAGTCCTCAACTTATGACCACAGTTGGAACCCGAATTTCCATTGCTAAGCAAAAAGGTTAATTGAGTCACAGCCGATTTTATACCCTTTCTTGCCCTGATTGTTAAGTGATTCACTGCAGCTGTTAAGTGACTCACACGGTCAATGTCTATGGAGATTCTCAGTCATCCAGGTCATGTTTGTCCCAAAGGTGCTTTTTCAGTAGGTAACTGTACTTTCTTGTTTTTCTTTTTCTTTGAAGATGTTTCGCTTCTCATCCAAGAAGCTTCTTCAGCACTGACTGGATGGTGGGCAATGGAAGGATTTGTATTCCTTACAGACAGCTGATCATTTGCACTCTTTTTAGAGCAGGGGTGTCAAACTCAATTTCATTGAGGGCCGCATCAGCACTGCGGTTGCCCTCGGAGGGGGGGGCAGGTGAGTGTGGCCAAGGTGGGTGCGGCCTACTGGGTGGGCATGGACAGAGTGGGTGTGGCCTACTGGGTGGGTGTGGCCGGCTCTACACCGTTCGCGTCAAGGGTGCCTGTGGGGGCCTGGGCAGGAGTGGGACAGATCTGAGGGTCTCTGGCAGAAGGGGGTGGGACCAGGGCAAATGCCAAGGCATGGTCCACTGGAGGAGCCTCACTGTTCCTCTCAGGCCATGCATGGGGGGCTGGATGGTGGCGCGGGCTGCCCGGAGCCCTGGGCAGCAGAGGTCAAACGCCCAGCCTGGCTCTCGAGCACCTGCGGCACCAAGCCGTTTCCAGACGGCCTTGTGGAGCTGAGACTGAATGCGTTTCAGCATAGATGGCCACCACAAAATTGTACATTGGCTCCCGGCCAACCTGGGCCAGGGCCAAGGCAGCGGGGGCCGTTCCCTCACTGTTTCCAGGATGGCTTCGCGGGCCACATAAAACCACCTCGCGGGCCGCATCTGGCCCCCGGGCCTTGTGTTTGACATGTCTGTTTTAGAGAGTCATTGAGGCCACTTGGAGGTCTTTCTGTGTCCTCGGGGCCACCTGAGTAGTGAAAATGAGTGTGGAGCCTTCTTGGCTGCAGGATGTCTTCTGCCCTGTGTCCCTTTGCTGTTGTAGACAGGCGCAGGCTGTTGGGGATGAGTCTGTGTTGTCTGCATCTCAAACTGAAGCGCAAATGGTTCCTGTGGTCTGCAATGTTTTCTGGAAATCCGTTCATCCTCCCTCGCCATTGGAAGGGTGTTCATCCCAAAGTGCATAGATAATTGTCTATGGAGACTCTCAGTCATCCAAGTCATGTTTGCCCCAAAGGGGCTTTTTCAGAATGCAACTGGACTTTCCTGTTTATCTTTTTCTTTGAAGACGTTTCGCTTCTCGTCCAAGAAGCTTCTTCAGCTCTGACTGGCCATTGACTCACATGGTCATTAAACAAACCCAGCTTTCCCCGTGGACTGTTTGAGGAAAGTTGCAAATGGAGAATCGTGTGACTTTGGGAATGGTGCAACTTTCCTAAAGTCATTCAGGTTGCCAGGTGCCCAAACTTTGTTCACGTGACTGTGGGGATGCTGTGAAGATTGTGTGAGGACTGGTCACGCGTGACTTTTTTTCAGTGCTGTTGTAACTTTGAACGGTTACTAAACGAATGGTTGTAAGTCAAGGACTAACTGTATGCCACACAGAGCCCTCCATGGCAGGGGGGAACATATATTTCCAGGCTGACCGACTTTGAATTCTGAGAGGAAGGGGGAACTGCATACTTGGAAGCCTCATTCATGGAAATAAAAACACACGATCAGTTTGCACCTTAGAGATCCAAATATCATGCATTCAGTTTGCCGATCTGATGCAGCTCAGAAGAGACCTCAGTTTGTGCTCTCTACATCCAGTGGAGAGATTGGGATAATAGGAGCTGTCACCCAAGACTTCAAGAAGGCACCGGAACGCTGGACTTTCACTTTGCCACTCTCTGTTTCCCCCTGTCTGTTTCCTCTCTAGAACTAACCAAGCATTCACTTCTAGGGCCCACACCCCAACCCTCAACTGCTAGGGGAGCAGGTGTTTTCCTCAGCAGTCCCAGCCCAATGTGCACACGGCCTGGTTTTAGAAACAGTGGCCCACATTTCTCTTTTTTTCTGCAAGACTTTCCCATCCATCTCTAAACAATGAAAGTTTAAAAATGTAATAAAATTCCCCCACCCTCGTGTGTGAAGCAAATACCCTACCTAAGTGAGGCTTATCTCTTAACAAGGATCAGTAAAATCATGCGTTCTATTTATTCTAGCTATGTTCTATCTGATAACATGTTCAAGAGATTTCAGAAATAAATTCCAGGCGTCAGTCGATGGCCTTACAATTTTCCTCCCTCCTTTGAAACTTGTTTACTGTCTAAATTGTGCTGTCTCTTTCGTATATTCTCTTCCAAGAGGCGGGGAGGGGTAGATTTGTTAAATAAGACACGCTTTCTAGGACATTATTCAGATCTCCAATCCTCCTACTTTTTGTGCAAGATACGCATTTCTTAGTTTAAGGCAGGATGGAGTACCTGGAGTTTCAGGACCACATGAAGCCCCTCCAAAGCTGTTTTCTCTGGGATACCAGAATCTGCTGTGAACAAAATGGGCAGGATCGTTTCCCACCCCTTGAAGATGGGAAACACAAATTTTGTAGAGTAAGAGTAAGGTTCTACATTTAGGCAAGAAAAACCAAATGGACAGGTATAGTATAGGGGGTACCTTGCTCAATAGTAGTAACTGTGAGAGGGACCTCGGAGTCCTAGTGGACAATCACTTAAATATGAGCCAGCAGCGTGCTGCAGCCGCCAAAAAGGCCAACACAGTGCTGGGCTGCATTAACAGAGGGATAGAATCAAGATCACGTGAAGTATTAATACCACTTTACAATGCCTTGGTAAGGCCACACTTGGAATACTGCATCCAGTTTTGGTCACCATGATGTAAAAAAGATGTTGAGACTCTAGAAAGAGTACAGAGAAGAGCAACAAAGATGATTAGGGGACTGGAGGCTAAAGCATATAAGGAACGGCTGCTGGAATTGGGTCTGTCTAGTTTAACAAAGAGAAGAATGAGGGGGGACATGATAGCAGTGTTCCAATCTCTCAGGGGCTGCCACAAAGAAGAGGGAGTCAAGCTATTCTCCAAAGCGCCTGAAGGCAGGACAAGAAGCAACGGATGGAAACTAATCAAGGAGAGAAGCAACCTAGAACTAAGGAGAAATTTCCTGACAGTTAGAACAATTAATCAGTGGAACAACCTGCCTCCAGAAGCGGTGAATGCTCCAACACTGGAGGTTTTTAAGAAGAGACTGGACAGCCATTTGTCTGAAATGGTATAGGGTTTTCTGCCTGAGCAGGGGGTTGGACTAGATGACCTCCAAGGTCCCTTCCAACTACTACTACTACTACTACTACTACTACTACTACTACTACTACTACTACTACTACTACTTCTTCTTCTTCTTCTTCTTCTTCTTATTATTATTATTATTATTATTATTATTATTATTATTATTATTATTATTATTATTATTATATCTAACACAGACTGAATACAGTATAAAAAATAAAAACCCTCTCTATCCCTAAACTGGAAAGAAACTCAAAAGCTCCCAGCTCTGCTCACATAGAGCTGTTGATTATATAGAACAGGGATCCCCAACCCCTGGTCCATGGATCAGCACCGGTCTGCAGCATGCCAGACACCGGTCCACACAAACAAGTGAAGCCCCATCCGTGGGATGCAGGCAACACGTGAAACCATGCTCCCTCCAGTGGGCGGAAAAACCTTTCTCTGTGGAACTGGTCCCTGGTGCCCAAAAGGTTGAGGGCCTGCTGATACAGAATAGGCTTTTCCAATAAAATTAAAACTCAAGGACCTTCCAAGGCTCTTTGGACTTGCCACAGTTCTGAACTGGTGGCACTGAGACCGGTCTGCAAAGTTCTGGCTGTTGCAGCATCTGTAATGGAAAGTAAGAATGACCTTGGGGAAAGAGAGGAAGATATGCTGCCTAGGAAACAATTAGACAAGAGGGGCAGGAACCTGCCGCCATTTAACAGAGAAAGAAACTTAGGAAAAACTTGCGCCAACGAATCAAGTAGTTAAAAACGGAGGCAAGTTTGGGCCTTTGGACTTGCAAGATTTTGCTCATGTAGCTTTTCAATCAGATAAAAATCAGTTTTGCCATGTTTCCTGTCTGGTTTGTGTGGGAGGGCTGGAGGCCTGACCACCCCTGTGATTGCAAATGGAGCACTTGGCAACCGGCCCATGTCGCAACATGCCGTGATCATGATTTGCAACCTTCCCCATTGGCTTTCCACGAAACAAGTCAATGGGGAAGCCGGCAGGAAATTGGAAGTTGTGGTCACAAGAGGTCACAACCAATGCAATGATTTCTTAAGAAGAGTAACCAGGGACTACCAGAATTGCAGTCACTAAGCAATGTGGTCACAAAATGAGACTAGCCTGTTTTCAGACACCACCGGGGAACAAGAGGGACAGCATAGCTGTAACAAGGTTACTTTTTGTACTTTTGGTATACAAATGTCATTTTACTTTTATTTTGGATTTGATTCCAATAAATAAAATTGTATTTGTATCTACCTTGTGACAATTATCATTATAAAACAAGGAAATTACATTTCACGCTGCTTGCTTTATTAAATTGGCAAATGTCTAGCTAGACAATAGCACTTTGCCCAACCTTCACCTATCTTTAAAAAAAAACCAACACCAAGCAGTGGTAAACCTAGATAATAGTTGGATGAGAGATCATCAGGAACTCCAGAGATTTATTACACTAAGAAACTGAAGGCTTAATTTATACAGATTCCTACAATTCAACTGCACTTGTTTTTTTCTCATTTTTTTAAAAAATCTATTTGCTGTTTAACTTTTTCTGTTCCAACTTGTGGGTTTACCTTTTTTTCATTCTTTCTAAAGAAACTATCCCAATAATCTCCAGTTAAACTGTATTTTTATTTATTGCTTTTGGTTTTTTATTTAAAAAAAACTACATTCTGATTTTTATTGTAAATTGCTTTAGTAAAGATTTTTTTTTTTCAGAGCCAATGTGCTAAATAAAAAACAGTTAATATCATGTTTTTTTCTCATGTTGCTTCTCTGAGTCACATAATGAAAATATCAACTATTTTTTCCGATAGAATTTGAATACCAGTGGTATTCTTAAACGTTGTTTTACCTAGTGAAAATTCTTTTTAATTTTCATAAGTGGAAACGGCTACCACCAGTAGTTTTTAAATTTTATAATCTTTATTTTTATAATAAAACAGGAGCTTTAAAAAAGGAACCTTAAATAAATGCAAACTAAGGAGGAAAAGAAAAAAAACACCTATCATTAATAGAGTTACTTTAAAGCTAAAATACAGAAATGACGATTAAACTGTTCTAAAGAAGGTTTTAAGGAGAAAAATTGTTCCAGTTTCTGATGCGACAAACATTCTCAGTTCCTCAAACGGACTGATAATTAAAAAAAAACAAAAACACTCTCACAGCTGGCAAAAAAGCCAACAAAAAACCAGTTGTCTGTTGTTTGAATGAAATAGAAATTAGGTACAATAACTTGACCAGAAACGTATTCCGTCCATAAGTCAGTGACCCTTCAACAAACCTCATAGAAGCTGTGCTGACTGTATGGATCCATTATCATAAAACCACGGGGTCAAGACCCTAAATTGTAGTAGAGTATCTTTTTGTAGGCATTATAACCTCGGAATTTTCAATTCTGGAGGTACAAGAAACCAAAAATTCAAAAACAGGAAGCTATAAAGATATACCTGAAATGGGACACCACTGGGGTAACGCCTTTGCAGCTCGGAAGGGAAAAAGCCATCCAGAATATCTTGCAGGCAACGCTGAAACCACAAGCATAAGCCAACTCATTAGATTTCCCCCATAGTGACAAAGCAACCACAATGGAGAAAAACTCAATTATTTGCCTGTTGGCACCTTGCCTATTTCCATTTATGTATTCCCCTTTGATCAGGATTTTGAGACAGAAAATATTGACTGTTTCCCCACCATTAAAAAAAGAAAAGAAATTAAATGGGTCAACATTTTCTGTGGGAAAATTTATGGACTCCATCTGAATTTACTAGCAATGGCAGATAGGGGATGTCCTGAGAAAAACAGCAAACCAAGCAATTTAAGAAACGCAGACTTGAACGTGTGAGACCAATGAGCGACCCAGTCTGAAACTAGACTAGGTTACTGACGAACTGGTGAAAACTGCACGTCAAGGACTGAAACGTACCCAGCCCAGCAATGACAGCAACCAATAAAGAGCACAGACGAGGCCAAGAGTAAAATAATTCCATAAAAAGGAGGGCTAGACAGGGACCGGTTTGGGAGACACTATTTCATCAACTATCTAGACCAGGGGTAATCAACCAGGGGACTGCTGAGGAAAACACCTGCTCCCCTAGCCAATCAGCCTAGCAACTGTTCCAGGTAAATTGGCAGAAATAATTTAAAAAACGAAGCATACAGAACAAATCTTCCTGGAAAAAAAAATCAGACTACAAAGAAATCTCCTGCCCCATCCTGTTTTTTGTTTTTTTTTAGATTTTGAGTATCAACAGGATATGGATGGAAGTGTCTCTGTTAGTTGGTGAACGTAGGATAAGAGGACTAGGGGCACTGAATATATTTTCTCCATATAAAAATGTCAAATCTAGGCAGATATAAAATGGAGTAGTTCAGCAAACAACTACAATTCTCAGCCAATAGTTGTCTGACTTATTTACCGTAAGGCAGGGGTGTCAAACTCGTAACGTCACATGATGTGTTGCGACGTATCGTGACTTTTTTTGCCATTGCCGGCAATGGGGTGGGCGTGGTTTTGCTATGATGCATCCGGCCCACGGGCCGGCAGTTTGACACCCCTGCCATGGGGTGAGAGCCAATTTGATCTAGTGGTTAAGGCAGGGGTCTTCAAACTTGTCAACTTTAAGACTTGTGGACTTCAACTCCCAGAATTCCTCAGCCAGCCCTCAGTTGAAGTCCACAAGTCTTAAAGTTGACAAGTTTGAAGACCCCTGGGTTAAGGCATGAGAAGCCAGGAGACTGCCTTGGCCATGAAAGCCAGCTGGGTGACTTGGGCCAGTCACCTCACAGCGTTGTTGCTGTGGGGAAAATAGAAGGAAGAAAATGTGTTTGGATATGTTTATCGCCGTCATTTGTTTGTAAAAATAATAAAAATGGGATACTAAGAAATGAAAGAAATGAAGGAAGCAACTGAATTTGCAGACGTTGCAATAGCTTTCTGTGGAGACTTTCAAAGGTCACACCAAGTTCTAGGATTTGCATGTGGCAAAGGCCCCAGACATCTTGATTATTGTGGATAGAGAACTGCAACAGGCTGTAACAAGAAGCGGCTTCCATTCGTGGCAGATGTGCAACAGGTGACCTTGAAATGCTACAGAAGCAGCATATAGATTCACAGTGCTTGTCTAAAAGGGAAAGGCCATGAGAAAAAGGGCGCCTTACGCTTCATTTTTCACTTCCTCCAACTCCCTTTCAGAATGAGAATCAATAGGCTGTTTAAATATGAAACTCTCCTGTTGAAAGGCGCAAACAGATGAGAAGTGATAAAAGCCTGGTTTTCTGCAATTTTTCACTTTGCAATTTAAGTTCTTCACAAGAAAAATAAAGCCTGCTTTACTCTCAGCCAGATTCAACATCCCAATACTAGAATCCTTATTTTCAAAAGTCTCTGGGGAGAGAGAGAGACTGTGGGAACTAAGCCACAGGTGGAAGGGAAAGGTAGAGGAGATCAACCCTGACTGCTCTTTAGAAGGCCAGATCCTGAAGTTGAAACTCAAGTACTTTGGCCACCTAATGAGAAGGAAGGACTCACTGGAGAAGAGCCTAATGCTGGGAAAGATGGAGGGCAAGAGAAGAAGGGGACGACAGAGAATGAGGTGGCTGGATGGAGTCACTGAAGCAGGAGGCGTGAGCTTAAATGGACTCCAGAAGATGATAGAGGACAGGAAGGCCTGGAGGAACGTCGTCCATGGGGTCGCGATGGGTCGGACACGACTTCGCAATTAACAACAACAAACCTTTTTTAAAATCAGTACCCAGCAGCAGGTCTCTTTCATGATTAGTGATGCATTCATACAGCCTATGACTACATCCAGGCTCAGCTTGCTAGCTGTAAAAAAATATAGATCTGCCTTTCAGAAGGGAACAGTGAACCGTTAAGGAAGAAGAAAAGATTTCTCAGTTCCAAAAAGATGGAAAGTGTAGGAAAGGACCTTAAAATAAGCATGCCTTGATTTTGTATGGTATACGATGGGGCAGAGAGAAACTGATGAGCTATCAAGATTCTGTTATTCTAGCCACAATGAAGAATGGAGTCTCTGCAGCTCCTGTTTTCTCCAAGGATTAACATCAATCTTGACAGCTTCTCACCATCAAGCTGAGACCAGCCACAGCCCAGAACAATTCAAAAAAGTAGTGCAAGATCGGAAGAGGTGGAGAGACCTGGCCCACAGAATCACCAAGAGTCGGGCACGGCTACTGTATATGGATAACACGTACATCATCATCATGGTGGCTTCTAATCCAAGAACTTTCCTGGAATTTCCCAAGCAGATATTTAGGCATGCTTCTGGTTTAAAGTAAGTGCAGAGAAGAGCAACTAAGATAATTAAGGGTCTGGAGACTAAAACATATGAAGAACGGTTGCAGAAATTGTGTATGGTTAGTCTAGTGAAAATAAAAAATGAGGGTGACATGATAGCAGTGTTCCAATATTTGAGGGGCTGCCACAAAGAAGAAGGGGTCAACCTATTCTCCAAAGCAACTGAAGGCAGGACAAGAAGCAATGGATGGAAACTTCTCAGGGAGAGAAGCAACATAGAACTAAGGAGAAATTTCCTAACAGTTAGAACAATTGATCAGTTGAACGACTTGCCTCCAAAAGTTGTGGGTGCTCCACCACTGGAGGCTTTTAAGAAGAGACTGGACAGCATTTGTCTGAAATTGTTTAGGGTCTCCTGCTTGAGCAGGGGGTTGGACTGGAAGACCTCCAACGTCCTTTCCAACTCTGTTATACTGTTCTGTTAATTTCTGTAATATTTCTGTTACCCAATCCACTTGAGATGGGATCCTTCTTCTTTCTTTTCTCTAATTGGATAGTTGCTAATTCAATATTCTTCTCAATAAGTTCTCCATATCTTATTATCCCATTTCCCCTTCGGTGCTGCTATTTTGAGTCTCCAGTGCTTCCTTTTTGTTTCAGGTTTGCCCTGCCAAGTTCCGTATTCTCATTTGCTTTCTTTTTCAAGCATGGTCATCATCATCATCATCATCAACAACAACAACAATAATATTACAGAACTCTTGTTTCTGGGAAACATAAAATTGCATATCATTCACTATTTATGTTGGGAACTGTCTTATGCCAAGGCTGAACTTTCAGAGATGTATGTCTTTGCCCAACGTGGAATAAGTGCGGTTCCACATCAGTTTGACAACTACATATTGCATTGTTGTGGCTTCTTATCTCATCAATCTTTTCAAATGCAATGATCAAAATGTCCAATGATCCACTAAAAGATAAGCTTCTTGCCATTCTCTGCCACAGTATAAGGAAGGGGAGGGGCTTGGCGATGGTTGTGGGAGAATGGCAGGACAAGAAGCAACGGATGGAAACTAATCAAGGAGAGAAGCAACCTAGAACTAAGGAGAAACTTCCTGAGAGTCAGAACAATTAACCAGTGGAACAACCTGCCTCCAGAAGCTGTGAATGCTCCAACACTGGAAGTTTTTAAGAAGAGACTGGACAGCCATTTGTCTGAAATGGTATAGGGCAGGGGTAGGAAACCGTGGCTCTTTTATGACGCGTGGACTTCAACTCCCAGAATTCCTCAGACAGCTATGCTGAGGGGAAAGGGAGAGGTTTCCATGCTGAGCCATGCTGGCTCAGGAATTCTGGGAGTTGAAGTCCACGAGTCATAAAAGAGCCAAGGCTGCCTACCCCTGGTATAGGGTTTCCTGCCTGAGTAGGGGGTTGACTAGTTGACCTCCAAGGTACCTTCCAACTTTATTATTATTATTATGAATGTTACTGCCACAAAACGCTTAATTTATACATACAGGTAGTAGTAACTCTCAGATTCCAATAAAAGAGAATATATGTAGCTCAGGGTTGAAATGAGAGGTCTATAAGCTTGGTGCTCTATAAGTTGATTGTTTTCTTGCAGACGTTTCATTACCCAAATTACATCACATCATCAGTGCTACCAGCTAATCTCAGCTAATCTCAGATTAGCTGCTAGTCAACAATTTCATTTCTTCGAAGCTTGATCCCTACCTGTGTGGAAGGATCTTCATATGACCGGAAAGGTCCACTGAACATGACAATCCCGTTCTGATAGAAGGTGATCGGAACTGAATCCAAGCGCTTCAACCGAGCTCCACCTGTAGTGTGTTTGATTTGGGATATACCTTCTCCAGCCAGCACATTCAAATCTTTCAGGTTCTTTAAAATCAGATCAAAATCGATTGGGGTTTCAGACATGATGGCTTCACCTATATGAAAGGAGAAACGACTGTGGGAAGGCAAGGAGAAAGCATCATCCATCCCATGATATGTAGCTTTGAATTTTAGTGCAAGCTCAGCATTGGAACTGCATCGTTGCTAAAGCAAAACCAACATTCCAATGCAACCTTCCCAACCCCAAATGTGATATCCTCCAGATGCCCTCTTGGTAGGAATTCTGGGAATTATAGCCTAAATACACCTGGGGAGGGGGCAGTAGTTTGGTGGACCGTGGCAAATGAATGGAATTTTATTATCTGCATTTCTATAACACATTGTTTTATCTAATAAGTTTCTCATCATGTGCTATAGTGATTTCCCCCCCCACACACACACACACTGGGGAGAGATACATAGCACAGTCTAAATACTAAGGTATGTTTGTGAGTTTTAAAAATATCTTTTAAATTTCTACAGTAATTCTCACTGCAAAGCCTCCTCCCAAGGATCTGCAATATAATTAAAATTATATAATTAAAATAATCACAACATCCAATTGAATTATAAACAACAAAAATAAAATATTTAATATTCAGGAATCCGGTAGAATTTTCAAACTCATCTGAATAGAAGAATGAGTGGAACAATTTCCCGAGGACTAAAAAGGCCATTTTTTTGTTTCCTAGCATATAAAACAAATCAGCTTTGATAGGAGCAGTCAATAAAAGCTTTCCTCCAAGGCCCACCTGGAAATCTTACTATTTGTTACCACAGATCTATCCGCAGGATTGTCCCAAAGGTGCTTTTCAAAAAGCAACTGGACTTTCTTGGGTTTTTTTTCCCCTTGAAGACATTTCACTTCTCATCCAAGAAGCTTCTTCGGTTCTGACTGAATGGTGGGGACAGCATTCGGTCAGAATCGAAGAAGCTTCTTGAACGAGAAGTGAAATGTCTTCAGGAAAAAAACCAAGAAAGTCCAGTTGCTTTTGAAAACACCTTTGGGACAATCATAACCTGGATGATTAAGAATCTCCACAGACATATCAGCAGGATTAAATAATGAATATTGACAGGGAGAAGTGATCAAAATACATCGCTATTTTATAAAGTTTTTATAGAAAAAGAAAAAAAGACTATTTCCTCTTCCAAGAAACTGATAATATTCATTATTTATTATTTCATTATTCATAAAAAGCAATAGAGAAAGGGGAGAAGAAAATGAGACTAAAATAAAAGGTGAAATATATTTTCATGCTTCTTTAAAAAAGACAGTCATTCCTCCCAGCTAACCTGGTTTCCAGAAAGTCCTTGATGTTGGACTGTCTTCTTCCTCTAGGGACTCCAGATCCCTCAAAGAATCTGGGTCTTCTCCAACCCAGATCAATCCATAGTCATTCAGAAACCGCTATATGGGAAAGTGAATAGAAAATGTAGAGGGGATGGCAAGAAAATTGACAGTATGTATTAATTGGTATATTAATCTTTATCTGCAATGACAAAACATGCACATTCCAAGATGGAACAGGAAAACTAAGATTGTTAAAATTTAAAATTACTCATTTTACTGCTGGTCAACTAAAGCCATTATAATTAGAGGTATGAATTTTGCAAAGCAGGCCTCAATGGAACAGAAACTTGGAATTTTAATACATTTTAAAATGTTGTTTGGGAAGAAAGTCCTGATACGAAGCCACCTCTGCAGATGCAAAGTCTACTCCCTAGAGCTACTATAAAGCATAAAGGGTGGTAGCTGTGTGTGTGTGTGTTTCCCATCTTTTTTTCCACTATTGCTTGCAATAGACCAGGGGTAGGCAACCTTGGCTCTTTTATGACTCATGGACTTCAACTCCCAGAATTCCTGAGCCAGCTGGCTCAGGGATTCTGGGAGTTGAAGTCCACAAGACATAAAAGAGCAAAGGTTGCCTACCCCTGCAATAGACAAACTGTAGTTTTCCAGTTCAACAACTGTCAGTTTTCTGTGAGTACATGAAAAAGCTCAGATACCTAGAGAAAAAAGGAATTTTTTTTATTTCTTTCCATTAAATAGCTAACCTCCATTTCCCAAACCTGACGTTGCAGCTGAAGGCATAACATTTCCAGTTCCTCAACTCGGCTTGTCCCCAATGAAGTTTTTTCTATAGGGAGAGGAGAAAAAGAATTTGGAGTTCCTTTTTTTTTTAAATATCAAACAATACCAAACGAAAAAGAAAAACCACAAAAAGGGGGAGCTCTCCTATCAATAAATGTCCTGATTCAGAACAGAAAATAAGACAAATTTTACTTTGGGATATATATCCTTCATATTATTTTTCCACATTTCATCAGTTTCAGATCTTAATAATCTGCAAAGTCTTAAAATATATCTCTCTATTAATGCTAAGGATGAAATATGGTCTTTTGTTTCGCATTTTCCATCATCATCATCATATAATAATAAAGTTGGAAGGGACCTTGGAGGTCATCTGGTCCAACCCCCTGCTCAGGCAGGAGACCCTATACCATTTCGGACAAATGGCTGTCCAGTCTCTTCTTAAAAACTTCCAGTGTTGGAGCATTCACCACCTCTGGAGGCAGGTTGTTCCACTGGTTAATTGTTCTAACTGTCAGGAAGTTTCTCCTTAGTTCTAGGTTGCTTCTCTCTTTGGTTAGCTTCCACCCGTTGCTCCTTGTCCTGCCTTCAGGCGCTTTGGAGAATAGCTTGACTCTCTCTTCTTTGTGGCAGCCCCTGAGATATTGGAAGACTGCTATCATGTCCCCTCTCATTCTTCTCTTCATTAAACTAGACATACCCAATTCTAGCAGCCGTTCCTTATATGTTTTAGCCTCCAGTCCCCTAATCATCTTTGTTGCTCTTCTCTGTACTCTTTCTAGAGTCTCAACATCTTTTTTACATCGTGGTGACCAAAACTGGATGCAGTATTCCAAGTGTGGCCTTACCAAGGCATTGTAAAGTGGTATTAACACTTCACGTGATCTTGATTCTATCCCTCTGTTAA